TGGGGGTGTGCAGCCTGGAGAAGAGAAGGCTCCGGGGAGACCTTCTGGCAGAACTTCTGGGGGGTCTCCAGGAAAGATGGGGAGACCCTGGGCCAGGGTGCCCAGAGCAGCTGTGGATGCCTCATCCCTGGAGGGGTTCAAGGCCAGGCTGGATGAGGCTTTGGGCAACCTGGGCTGGTGGGAGGTGTTCCTGCCCATGGCAGGGGGTGGCACTGGGTGGGCTTTAAGGTCCTTTCCAACCCATTCCATGATTCTAAAGCCCTGACCTGGAGCAGAGCAGACCCGTGCTGTGTCCTGGCTCTGCTGCAGCTCTCCTTCCTCACCCCTGCCTGGTCACGGAGCTTCTCCATCGCTGTTCATTGTCCTCAGAACGGAGCATCTCTGCTTTTTGGGTCACATCCAAGCAGTTTAAGTTCCCAGCTGAAGGGTGGCTGGTTCTGGACCTCTGCCCCACCCCGCCCCGATGTGTGCTGCTGTTAGTTCACACCCTTGATGCTCCAGCAAAGGAGACGTCTAAGCCTGGAGTTCCTCCAGAGAAACTCTGGCTGTGGGCTGGCCTGAACCCCTAATGGGTTTGAAAAACCTTAGTGCAGCTTTTTGGGTAAAAGTTCCTGTCGCTGCAAAGGGGCTTGTGAACTGACTGGGAAGGAGGGATTAACTGGGAAGAAAATAAGTTTTCGAGGCAGTGCATTGTGCGCCCACGTGTCTTCTGAGTGAGAAGTGTGGTCTGTCCTCTATGGAATAAGAAGTCAAAAGTTAGAGAGAGATATCCTGTATCAATTGTGGAAGGATTTATTTTCTCCTGATCACCCAAGTGGGAGCTGTCAGGTCCTGCCTGTTGCATTTCTCCCCCTGTAGTCTCTACATTAATAATTTTTGGTCAGTTATTAACCCAGATGGACGTGACCACACCTACCTCTTTTTTTATGATTTTTTTTTTTTTTATTTCCAGGCTAGCAGTGAACAACGTCACCATGATGGGCAGTGTTCTGAAAATGACGGATCGGAGCCACAGGCAGAAGCTGCAGCTGAAAGCCCTGGACACGGTGCTGTTTGGGCCTCCCCTCTGTAAGTACCCAGACTCAAAGTCCTTTGTTGAGCAAGAGCAGCTGTGTCTGCTCAGTGTCAAACAGCAAAGAGAGATCTGTGTGAGCCCTGCGCAGCCTCGCCCAGGTAGATGAGCCCCGGGACGATTCCCTGGAACAGGACAGGCTTCCCTGGGGATTTATCGGAGCAGCTCTGTAGCCCGCAGGCATCCTGTCTACTGGCCTTGTGCTTCCACCGCTGCTCCCAGGGCTGTGGACCCGCTGTCCTGCTGGGATCTCCTGCATCCGTGGGTAAAACCATCCCGTCCGTCCTGTCCCTGTGACCATGCAGTGGGTTTGTGGCTGTCCCGGAGGGGAGCTGGTGGAGCGGGGCTGCTGCTGGGGGCACCCGGGGCTGTCGGTGAGTCAGGCTGTGGATCCCCACCCCTGGCTGGACGGGAAGGCATTCGGGATGGATGAGAACATGGGAAGGCATTCGGGATGGATGAGAATGCGGGACTGAGTCGCTTTGATGCTGATTACAGGTGTCTGTTGGCGCAATCTCCAAGTGATGCTTATCTTGCGCTGCCCCAGGTGCTCCTTTTGCATCCCTTCCATCTGCCTCCACTGTCTATTAAAGATGCTTTTATCTCTCTTCCTCTTACTCACATCTTTCTCACAAGCTCCGGATGCTTTCAGGAGGTGAACAGCCACCTGGCTCGAGCAGGGCTGCTCTCTGCCTGGCGTCGTGCGGACGAGATGGATTTTTAACGATTCAAGCCCCCTTACGCCGT